CAGGCGCTGATTGGTGGTCACTGCTGCGTGTTTGAATCGTTCGAGAATGGGACCGCACAGCAGAGCTCCAATTTTTTCTGCTTGTGCAGCTCAAGGAACTCGATCATACCACTACTAAGACAGGGCGGGGTAATGACCCGCGGGGTAGTATACAATAGTGGTCCCGATATTGTGATATGTAGTGGCAAGAGCAAAACATGCCAATATTCGGGGCAGTGCTATTATTCGATTAAGTGTAAATGATGCCACTTTTGAGGAGGATAAGCTTGATGATTACGCTACGGAGAGCAGTTGTTCGTTGGATCTTCAGAGTACTCCCACATGTTGTATATGTGTCTAGGGCCCTTCCTTTGTTGTGTGCACCAGTATCCGTGTGAAAACGCAGGTGTCTGCCCATCACGTGTTCATTGACACTTGATGGTCCTGTTGTGACAACGAGGCCTTCGGCGGTCGCTACCTGCCTTCGTGTGCAGGCGGACTGACTGCAGAAACAAGCAACATTTATTTTCTTTCTTTCCGGCGATCCATGATGGGGTTCAACGCAAGCAAAACACCTGTTGAAAACATCAATGTACGCGAAACCAACTGGAGCAGCCAAGTTGACAACGCCGAACACTCCCCACTCCTGCGCATGATCCCCAACCGTCACAATAATTTGCACTCACAGGCGTCGACCGACCAATGCCTCTACACTGACTCGGTAAACGCTCTGATGATGTCAAACTCCCGCACCGGTCTATGTAGCGGCATGTGCTTGGAAAAATGCCATCTTTGCCTTACGAAGGAGATGCCCGGCATCGTTGATGCCACACGACTCCGCGTACTCTCCTAGAGGCCCAAAAACGCAGACAGTTCCGCGAATGATGGCGGCGCCTTCATCCTTCCACCCCCCTCACTCTCAGAATCTCATGAAGTCGGCCACCCCAGCCAGCGCGACATGTGTGCCCGTCCTTCTCCCCAAGCGGTCGGTTTTGGAGNCGCACTCACATACTGCAGGCGCTGATTGGTGGTCACTGCTGCGTGTTTGAATCGTTCGAGAATGGGACCGCACAGCAGAGCTCCAATTTTTTCTGCTTGTGCAGCTCAAGGAACTCGATCATACCACTACTAAGACAGGGCGGGGTAATGACCCGCGGGGTAGTATACAATAGTGGTCCCGATATTGTGATATGTAGTGGCAAGAGCAAAACATGCCAATATTCGGGGCAGTGCTATTATTCGATTAAGTGTAAATGATGCCACTTTTGAGGAGGATAAGCTTGATGATTACGCTACGGAGAGCAGTTGTTCGTTGGATCTTCAGAGTACTCCCACATGTTGTATATGTGTCTAGGGCCCTTCCTTTGTTGTGTGCACCAGTATCCGTGTGAAAACGCAGGTGTCTGCCCATCACGTGTTCATTGACACTTGATGGTCCTGTTGTGACAACGAGGCCTTCGGCGGTCGCTACCTGCCTTCGTGTGCAGGCGGACTGACTGCAGAAACAAGCAACATTTATTTTCTTTCTTTCCGGCGATCCATGATGGGGTTCAACGCAAGCAAAACACCTGTTGAAAACATCAATGTACGCGAAACCAACTGGAGCAGCCAAGTTGACAACGCCGAACACTCCCCACTCCTGCGCATGATCCCCAACCGTCACAATAATTTGCACTCACAGGCGTCGACCGACCAATGCCTCTACACTGACTCGGTAAACGCTCTGATGATGTCAAACTCCCGCACCGGTCTATGTAGCGGCATGTGCTTGGAAAAATGCCATCTTTGCCTTACGAAGGAGATGCCCGGCATCGTTGATGCCACACGACTCCGCGTACTCTCCTAGAGGCCCAAAAACGCAGACAGTTCCGCGAATGATGGCGGCGCCTTCATCCTTCCACCCCCCTCACTCTCAGAATCTCATGAAGTCGGCCACCCCAGCCAGCGCGACATGTGTGCCCGTCCTTCTCCCCAAGCGGTCGGTTTTGGAGTTACATACCGTATATGACACAAGATAACACACCCCCTGGACCGATTTTCAAAGCTCATCACTCCACGACGAAGAGGATGCATAAACGAAACGATACATTTCGTAAAGCTCTCGACGAGACGGTTTCAATGCCGCGATTTTCGGCGCTGTGGCTGTTCCTGCAGTTGAGAAATCGAGCTTCGAAATTTGGTCAAGGGGGTGTGTTATCTTGTGTCATATACGATAGTTCTATATCCGCGCATGCCGACATGAATACGTGTGGCGTGGCGCCCGCTGCTGTGAGTGTCGTGTGTGTTGTAGTACGTGCGGTGAAATACAGGGGGGCTCCGACGTTTTGAGTTGCCACTATTGGGGGGATGAGATGCCCAAAATGCCAGTATTGAGGGCCCCGTCCTCAACAGTAGTGGTACAAAGCCACTATATCGGGTTGATATTGTAACAAGAGATTTCATGCCGCTATATCGGGACCAATACTGTACTCAACACCTTATAGTGTAGTCTATATCTGCGATGCTGATGACGCCCCCACACAGCAGCGTGCAACGGGCGCGACGAGGCTTAGGCTTGCGTGTGTGACCCCAGTTCAAATATTTGCACCTTTACTGGCGGTAGTTTGTTTTCCGGTGATGCCATACACAACACAGCTACGAAGATTCAAGGTAAAAATTCTTTCCGCCGTGCGGATGCAAGCACGCACATCAGGAAGAAGCACGCATGCAGCATATGCCTGGAGGCGAGCCTATCACAGATCACACCGCCGCGGAGCACCAGCAGCAGAGAGATGATTCAGGCTCACAACTTACCCGCCACATTCAACCTTCCCAAGCCTGCCGGATTTCCCGCGAAGTGAAAGCAAGCAGTCTACAGTATGAGCAACACAATATGAACCGTTGGTGGACGTGAAATCGACGCTTAAGACCCAGCAGCAGCAACAGCAGGCAGGGCAGACGGCTTTGCGAAGGTACGGTCCGCAGCGCGGCGTGACCTGACATTGCACAGTAGTTGACGTCCACGCCCTCCAACGTGTCTCTCGACGATTGCATAGCGCTCTCGACTTGGGAAGGTGTGTGTGTGTGTTGCTCATCACTCTGCCTTTTGAGCAGTCAGTTGGACTCACTCAACATCAACAAACAAGCCGCCAGGTTACACATGGCGCATGGCTATTGTTAAGGCCGGTTCATCCCCACCGGATCGGTTCTCGATATTCGATTGTGGACAGTTCGCATGGTCGAGTGTATCCGGGGGGGTGTGGCTGACGTGATCGAGAATCAGACAGACCAATATGTCGCACGATCCGGCCTGCTGGAGGGGTTCAGGGTACATGTCCCCTGACCCCTGGGGACAAACACCTCTTCCGTGGCGGTTGCCCCAACTAAAACCAGGTGTTTGCTTATCAACACCTCCCCTGAAGCGAAAAATTGATTGAGCCATATCCTTGCCATGCCATCCACTACGAGTGCTGCACCTGATATGCTGATTTTGGAGCTTGCGATGGATGCTATGTGACGCTATTGGATGTTGGAAGCTGATTGGCAGATAATTTGATGCCGCTTGACTATCCTTACGGATATCGACTCCACAGACAAACGTTGCTATAGTCAGTACAGGTGGGACGTATCTCTCACGATTTGATATTGAAAACCCTTATGCTTGCTGAGTGGCGAAGGTACGCGGAACGCAGACGTCGCTGCGTGTCACGCCTCGGCAAGAGGGACGCGAAATCCGCTTTGCCTCAATCGCTTCCTTCACGTTTTTGTTTTTCAGCGCCTAGACTAATGGCTAACCTGGCTTAAAAAATAACGGGAGGAAGCATACCTATTTTCGGAGACGTAACGATCAGGCACGCGTCGCGTTTTGCGGCTTAGCACACCCACACGCTTGGCTGACACCTCCTACACACATGGTGCCGTTGGTGATCTCACGCGCGCAGTCAGAGCACCGTAAAAGTACCAAGTCGCGGCGCCGCCGTAAACGTAACAAGACCGATGTGGTCACTGCCGCCGTATAGTCGGGTGGGGCCCGTAGCGGGGACAGCCCGATGTTGGCCAACAACCACTTGGTTGGCTCCAGCAGCAGCTTGCCGAGTACCACCAAGTGCTCAGTAATACTTGCGCCGTTGTGTGTGCGTGACTTTAAGGCGTTCCTGGGAGATCCCCTGCTGGAGCGCCCCCCTCAACGCCTGAAAGTTGCGGACAGCAGCGCCAATATTATTGCGAATTTGGTGGTACTCGGCAAGCTGCTGCTGGAGGCGACGACGCGGTTGTTAGTCAGCATCGGGCTGTCCCCGCTTACGGGCCCCACCGGACTGTTCGGCGGCGGTGGCAACAATCGGTCTTGTTACCTTGACGGTGACGCCGCGACTCGGTATTTTGACGGTGCCCTGACTGCCCGACAGAGGTACTTGTCGGCGCGGCATCACTACGAACGGTCATCGTGAATGAATGCCGGGTTGCCGGGAGATGCATGGGTGCGATCATCTTTGTGGGCGTCGGCTGCGACCCTTCCGTGGGCGCCAGCGGTTGAGGGTGGTGCCCCGATAGCTTTTGGCGTGTCCTTATGTTTTTGGCGTGGCATTTGTTGGAGGTGTTACCGGGCCTGGCCAGGTTGTAATACAGATCGGACACGCGAACACGTTGGGGCCAATGAGCAGGGGCTACCACTGCAATGACAAGGCGTGTGAACGATAAACCAATGTCATGGTGGACGAGTTAACGTACTGTTTGTACGACACATGATTGGGCGCTGAGCCGCACGAAGATCTGACGGGAATGCGGCACTGATCTCTGAAGATCCAACAGCAGCAATCTAGAGCGCTCCATTCTCCTTTGCTGTTGCTGCTGCACTGATCTTTCTCCTCAGCAATCTAGAGCGGTTCAATTCTCCTCGCTGATGCTGCATTGATCTATCTCTGCAGATCCCAGTCGATGCCTGGACGCCCTGGCCGTCGCTCGAAACCAGGCGGATGGCGACGGTAGGTGGCGGTGCTGGTTCACGTCAACTAAGCAGGCACAGCTCGCGTCACTGGGTTTTTGCACGGTTTTCCGCAGGGTGTCGATGCTTCACCTACGAGTGGAGCCCGGCACTCCGAGGCATCTGTGGGCCCGTGCTAACCCACGTGACGCGGAAGACACCAAGAGGTGCAAGACTTCGCGCGTGCCGATGGTAAGGCCGCGCGCGGTTACGTTGAGCCTGTCGGGTTCGGAGCGGAAAGGTAACAACAACAGCATCTGTGATGCACAGGCGTGGAGCGATTTCATTTCGGCATCCACTTCAACGATGACGTCAGCCGGGTCTAATGGCCCCCGAATCTCAAGAGGGTTGGGTTCAGTGACCACTTCAACCGGTCGGTGAACCGACTGTCTCTGCCTGCGTCCGTGCGATCGATAACCATCGGTTACGGCTTCGAAAAAATGCTCGCGAAAATGGAGTGGCCTGCATCGCTGCAGTTCTGTTCCTGTCTTGCCGTTTCAAGAATAGCATGAAAGGCGTCGTGTGGCCGAACTCGCTGCGGAAGCTGCATTTGGGGGGTGATTGATCTCAGGACGAGAATGCCGCTGGTTGGGATCCCGTGGCCAGCATCGCTGCAAGTTTTGCAGACTGGTTGCATGCGCAATGAACCGATTGATGAAGTACCGCTGCCCAGGTCCCTGAAACAGCTCACTGCTGTCAAAGGCTTCAACCGGTCTATTGACCAGGTCGAATGGCCAAGGTCGTTGGAGTAATTGGATCTGGGACTAGAATTCGACCAGTCTTTGGACGGGGTTATTCTGCCCAGGTCGTCGCGGTCTTCGACCTTGGGGCTACGCTTTCACCGCCGCATCGATCAGGTAGTCTGGCCGCGGTCGTTCCAGCAGCTGACCTTCCACTACAACTTCCAGCACGTTGCTGGTGAGATAACGTGGCCGTCCTCGTTGCTCGAGATGTTCCTCTGGGACAATTTTCGGCGGGCTGTGGATAACGTGCTGTTCCCAGTGGCGCTGCAAAGGCTGAAATTCGGGTGGAACTACAACAGCGCCGTTGACGCGGTAGCTTGGCCGGCATCGCTACTCGAGCTGAACTTTGGTGTTTTGTTCAATCAGCCCATCGACAACGTTGCGTGGCCGGCGACCCTGCGGACTCTAATTCTAGGGCGGGACTTCAACCAGCCCATTCGTAAGGCCGCGTGGTCGGCGTCCTTGCTCCAGCTGTCCTTCGGGCAGGCAACCAACCGGTGGACGACGTTTCTTGGCCACCGTCCCTGCAAGAGCTTCGTTTCGGGTGCGGCCTTGCTTCTCGTGGGGACCAAAAGCACGTGGGGACCTTGACCACCTACGCAAGGATGGGCGACGGCTCCGACTTCAACCAGCCGATATATAAAACCGCGTGGCCTTCGTCGCTCCAGCGGATCACCTTCGGGCCGTGTTTCAACCAACCGCTAGACGGCGTCTCCTGGCCGGCTTCGCTTCGGCAGCTGGCCTCTAGCCGGGACTTCTGCCCGCCCGGCGAGGGGTTCGAGTGGCCGGCGTCCCTGGAGCGGGTGACGGTCGCTTGCCCGCCTGATCGCGCGCTGCCGTCGTGGCACGGGGTGCAAGTCTTCGGGGTGTGGAGTGCGTGGTGGAGTTGTCAGGTAATAGCAGGGCGTTCTTGGTGAATCGGCCGAGGGGTGCGTTGTAAGTGCTCGGATGTGGAGCGGCTGGTAGGAAACTTATCGGCTTGTTAAGTAGCAGGACTTGCTTGATGTAGAGTAGGTGTGCCAGTCTTCCAGGTTGTCGAGTGTCTGATGGTGGGACAGGTGTCCGCCAATAGCGGACGTGCTCGGTGAATCGGCCGAGAGGGGCGCGAGTGTTTCGAGGATGATGTGGATCGGCTGGTTTTTGGCAGAGTTATCGGCTTCGAATTGGAAGGGCTTGCTTGATGTAGGTGTGCCAGTCTTCGCGATGTGGAGTGCCTGATGGTAGGGAACTTGTCGGCTTGTTTAATGGCAGGGCTTGAGCTTGGTGCATTGGTCGAGGGGTATGAAAGTTTTCGGAATGGGGAGCGGCTGGTGGTGGGAGAGTTGTCGGCTTGTGAAACAGCAGGCCTTTTTCTTGGTGTTTTGGTCGAGGGGAAGACTGGGTAGGTGAAGACCGGGCTCCCAATAGCAGAGAGACCAACAGCGTGACGATGCGCTTGAGTACGTAAAGTTGTGGGTTTCTATATAATCTCTAGCTGTAACATCTTGCGTGCAGGGAGCGCAGTTAGGTAGGTGCTGATGTTGATGTTCAAGCTATCTCAGAGATGGGTCAACATTTTAGTTTTGGTTGACGGCCAGCAAGTGACTTCGTCCCGTCACACATGACGTACATTTGGGAGCAAACAAGAAATTTGGTCTTTCACGGAAATGCGTTCTTTATAGAAGTTCGTGAAAACCACTAAAGGCTCGCGTGAGACGCGGCCTGGTGCAAGCAGTGGCAGTATTGGAACACGTGTTGCCCCTGTCCTCTAAAGTACGTTCACGCGAGGGAGTGAAGCATCCACCGTCGTCAGGAATCGAAAGGAGTTTCCCTACGAGCGCGTGCCTTCCAGACACCCACAAACACACGGGACAGGCCCTCTCATTCTCTTGAAACGTCGGGAGACGCCGACGAAACCGTCCAGGTTTACGTGACGTTGGCGAGCGAACAAAGACGCGCTGTCAGAGATCGAAGAGATTTTCCCCGCAACCTCTCGCGCGGTGTTGTTGTAGGAGGCGCGCCGCGGGAGCCCTTCAGGTATCCAGAGACAAGTGGACGGACCCGCTCGCTCTCCGGTGGCGTGGAGATGCCGCCGAATCAGTTTACGTGAGCGAGTAATCGACATCATCCAAAAACACATTCAAAATTCCAGCTGCTGGAGCTGGTGTGTGTCGGAGCAAAGGCCTCCCTGGTAGTTCTTTTTATGGTCTTGTGATTTGGTAGATCGATACAAGGCTCCACCTAATCTATCCCGCCTCTCCACCCACAAAAACAAAAAGAGGTCGGGTGTAGGCGAGCGAATGAAGACGAACTACGCTACACCGTCGCGGCCGCCGCTGTAGTCGCTTGCTGCCACCAGGATTGGCCACTATCTTTGATGTCTGTTGCCGAAGCAAAGGCATGCGTACCTTCGTAAAATAAATTACGCGCCTTTTCTCAGTGGCGTGTTTGCCAGCGGCCCTGTTCCGCCGCGGTGCCAAAGCAGTTGACCACTCTCTGGTGTCTCCACTCGCCCCCGCCCCATCCCGACTATCCCGGTCAGAGAGCTCTCACGCCAAGGCAAAGAGCAGAGCAGCCTTGATACCCGATGCCGCACAGCGACATTCTCGCCGCTTCCAACTCGAAAGAGTCTAAAAAAAAACTCCGTCCTTAATTATTGTGGCCGCACGCCACACGCTCGAAAGTTTGTCTCAAAAAAACATCTCGTCCTACAAGTCGTGGCCACACAACACGTGCTCGAAAGAGTGTTTCAAACAAAAAAACTCGACCTTGTCATCGTGGCTGCACGACACAGGAGGAGCCCTCACCCGACAACACGGTCTGATGCGCCTGGGCGCCCGCATCTCTGTCGTTTGGTCGATCTACTGATGTATGTAGAGCGTCTACTTGAGGTTAGTGCACCACTCGTGGTTGGCCACCTCGTCGTTGCACTCCTGCTCGATCTGGGGGTACTTCTTGAAGATATCCGCCACGGTCGTCTGTTAGCGGCAGGGAGGGAGGGGGTTCCGGTGAATAATTTAAGGGTTGGGGGTGGGTGGGGAGGTGGTAACATAGCAGTGGATTTGCGGGGTTTTGGAGGAATGAGGAGGGGATTGCTCAGCGGTGAATTCAACGTCGGAGGGGGATACATAGCAGGGAATTCAGGGGTTCGGGGGGATAAGGAAGGGGTTACAGAACAGTGAATTCAGGAGTCTGGGGGGTTGAGGAGGGGTTACATCAATTGCGGCGGTGGCAACGACCCACCTCAATGCCTCTCAATTGATCCGGAGAGTCTGCAGTGTCTCATGGGTGGCCCATTCTCATCATCTAAATCAAGTTAGCACGGCATGCGATCTGTGTCCACCTCCTGCATTCCGCAGGCGTGAAACCGACGCACGCGACTACTGTAAGAGGCAGAGAGATGGCACCCCCCCCCTCGGCCGGTTTTCAAAGCTCGATTGCTCCACGACCAAGCTTGGTACCAATACCAAACATGGTGGTTTTGGAAACATCTCGTTGGGGGCTTTCCGTGACCTGCGTGGCTCTGCCCGCAGCCCCTTGGTTGTGGAGCAACCGAGCTTTGAAAATCAACCAAGGGGGGGTGCCATCTCTCCGCCTCTTGAAGTATATTTCGTACGAAATATATCCCAGCAGAGCTTTGCGCACGCTCTTCAACGAGCTGTTGCTGCTATGTGTAGGCTTGATTCATGTAGAGCAAGTACAACGATATGTTTATTCCTGCTGCTGCTGTGTAGGCTTGGGTCACGTAGAGCAAGTACGAGGATATGTCTATTCCTGCTGCTGCTGCTCCTGCTGCCGTTTGCGTAGGCTTAGTTCATGCAAAGCAACTACCGGGATACTGTACATCCTTACCTGGTCGTTGGTCATGTTGTTCTTGAGGAGTTGCTCCTTGTCCGCTAGCGCAACCACCTTCGCCTCCGTGTTGCCCGTTTGTGCAGCCGCCAGCTGTTGAAAAAAAAGAAAAAAAAAAGAGTGCGCCTCAACGTGGTCAGCTTGTCAGCAGATCCATATGTTGACGTACACTATTATAGTGGTGCATCAGCCGTACCATTTTGCTGGATGAGTTATGTAACGCATATCCACAACACAGAAAAAACGCACGAACAAAAACAGTACGACGCCGACCAGGGCGCGTAACATTTTTCGATAAACACAGGGAGACTACCAGTTCGAGGTATCAGACGACAAAACAAATAGACGGCACAGCACAGAGCAGTCGAAAGGGATGTGCTGAAGTATTTTCGGTGAGTGGAGGAAACCGGCTGGAAACTGGGCTGAGTGCGTTTTAATTATAACAATTTTGCACGCGCGACAACTTTTTTCGAACAAGCAACGGCGTTGGTGGGTGAGAAGCGACAGAAGCTGGCAATTGCCATCACTGGGATAATTTAGTTTATAGGCTAAAGCAGACTCAAAATAAACCCAGTTTCCAGCCGGTTTCCCTCCACAAACTGAAGAGACTTGAGCATATCCCTTCGACTGTCTGTGGTTACATCTCGAACGGGTGCTCTTCTTGTGTGTTCACGCATATTTACTAAACATTGCCAAGCGGTCGTCGTTGCGCGCAGTCCTCTGCGCTAAAAACCAAACAGAACAGCGGTCGAACGGATATATAGCCAGGTGCACGATAGGCCCTCAAACTCTCCCCGCACTTCACCCCGTACATTCTTGGCGAAAAGAGTCGCCCATAAAGACAATATACAGATGTTGTCAATTTTCTTTTTGGTTCGTTGGGGTTCGCTGGGCTTATTGGGTGAAAAATACTTCAGCACTGTGTGAGCTCTTCAGCTGTTGAGCTTGGGAAGCGTCACAATCAACAGCTGGCAGCCAGCTGTTGGCTCGTTCTGCTCCTGTTTCGTTTCGGCTTGCATCACGCCGCAGATGACACCGCTCTGCTCCCAGGGGCCCACTCCAGAGGAACCCATCGGTATGTTGCCTTCACAACAAACAAACGTTCCGGTCTGCGGTAGGTTGCGTAAGATATCACGCACCCTCGACCGAATTGTTGTTGTTGTTGTTTTTAACAACAGCTCTATAGTCACAAAAAAATGGTAAGCCCGTGGAATGTTAAAGCTTGATATTTCGGCAGGGAAAGCAGTAACGGTGCCGAAAATTGCGGAGTTGTAACCGTTCCGTCGAGAGCTTACCGACATTGTACCGTTCGATAAATACCGTAGGTGGCATGACGTAAGATATCACACCCCCGGACCAATGTTCGAAGGTCGACATCTCGGCAGGGAAAAAAGTGACGGTGCTGACAAATGACGGCGCTGGAACCGTCTCGTCGTGAGCTTACCGACAATGTACCGTTCGATGAATACCGTAGGTGGCATGACGTAAAATATCACACCCCCCGAACCAACGTTCGAAGGTCGATATCTCGGCAGGGAAAGCAGTGTGCCGAAAATTGCGGAGTTGTAACCATTCCGTCGAGACGAAAACGTATCGTTTGCCTCCGGCATCCTCGTGGTCGTGGAGTAATCGAGCTTTGAAATCGGTCCACGGGGTTATGATATCTAATGCAACCTACGGTACGTCCCTCTGTCCATACTGATCTAACGCTTGACGCGCTTGATTCCTTTGGTCGCAGGAGGACCTACCCTAAGAAGGCTTTTCCACAACAAGTGGACACGAAGGGTTCGCACGCCAAAATAATCAAACGATGCATCACGTATATATATATATATACGTACCTGAGCAGTGTTTCCGTCGAAGAGCTCCCCGTACGTCTTCCAGCTACCCTCCCAATCGATGTCCTTGGGGTCCCCCACCGCCACCGGCTTCATCATCATCTGTGGTGCCTGCACACATAAACAGTACACGAGCACACAAAGACCCAGAGAGCGATCCACACGAAACCAAGCGCTTATTCGATACACTTGCCGTAGATTTCTCGGCACACGACCCGCCGATTAGCTACCTGCAGACGAGCACGAGTGGTTCGACACATCGCTGTGTAGGGACGAGACAATTTCACCGCGCTGTTATCGGGACCCGCGCTATTCGCGACCGCGACATATCGGAACCACCGCTGCATAGCGAGTGCACAGTTTGTGTTTCGGGTCGTGTTGCCTTTATTTTTCAACCGCCACATTTCCAGCGGGCTGCTCTCAGGCCAGTATTTCGGATTTTAGGCCGCTCACCGCCGTGGTATATGCCACATACGGACGTCCGGTTCGTTGCTATATCCTTACCTCCGGCTCGGGCATGGTAACCTGCTTCGTGGACTCGTACTCCTCCTGCAGCTTTGCGATGGTCGGGTGGTTCCCGAAGAATTCCTTGTAGCTAGCCCAGTCGATCGGCTCCGGCTGCTTGGAGTACTTCTCGTGCATCGCCTGTGGACAGCGCCAAGATAATAGAAAAGGCGAGGGGCGAGGTGGGAGGGAGAGGGAGAGGGAGAGGGAGAGGGAGGGGGGGACGGGGAGGGAGGGAGAAAGGGATAATGGGAGAAAGACACAGAGACAGAGAGAGAGCAAGTGTGGGGTTAGGGTGCGGGATTGAGAAGGTGTGGCTGTGCTTTTTCATTGGCGTCGGGATGAAATACAACAATCTCCGTGCAGTATCAAGAAGGTGATGGCTGTGCTCGTTGTTTGGGGCTCGCGTCCAAAGTGTTCACAAAAACTTTAACCATGCACACGCGTCAATACGATGTCGTTTGTTCATCTT